CACACACACACACACACACACACACACACACACACACACACACACACACACACACACACACAGAGTGACAATCAAATGCCTGTTTGCTGATGCAGGCCCCCTCTGATACCAACAGAGTAAACATTACACAATTACAAGCAATGTCAAACACATTCTTATCCTGTGGTCTCAGCCTCTCATGGACGGAGGACGTGTCCCCTCCCTCGTGGACAAACCCCCTCTGAGACAGACTCTGTTTGCACTCAGATCTCCCATCTTCCCTGAGCCCTCCGTCCCTGACCCGGCTGTGACGGAGCGCCCAGCCGAAGTCGGTCCCGCATGACAGGAAGTATTGATACACAGCCGTTTTAGAGATAAAAAAAGGAGGGTGAGGCGCTGACAGGGCAGGTGAGCGATGGGGGAAGCATTGATTGGAATAGGATGTGCACAGCTACAGGTTTAACACGGGTTTCATTGTGACAATCCTGCTAAATCATCTTACTTTAAGTAAAAAAAAAACAAGATTATCAAGCTATTTAGCTCCAAGTTCTGTGAAAGTTATGAACAAATTATATTATAAGTTATATTATAGGAGACCATGTTGGAAACACTCACTCATTCACTTCCCGGTGTTCACTACTCACATAGCAAAATATGTCTGGCCCAGTTCTGGCCCACACAAGACAACGACCATTGGCCCAGATGTTGCACAGAAGGACAGCCGTTTAGTGACCCAGATGTGGTTTGCCAGAGGTAGTCCATTAATGGGTCAGCTCCACATAAACCAAACCACAACTGGGCCAGCTGTGGCATGCCATCTTAAAAAAAAACACCAGTGTTGCCAGGTCTGGCCCACATCTTACTGACAAACCAGTTGCCATGCCAGCAGTCAAGCAGTGCCAGTTTGACACCATCTGGCCCACACCTGTCTGCTATGTGGGTATAGCAGACCAAATGTTGCCCCACTTCCTGTTTTGGATCTTGAGATGATTTCCAATCATCAAGTTTGGTTTAAGTGGCCCAAATCTGTCAATGCCACAATTGGTTCAGTTGTGGCTTGGACCACCTCTGGCAAAGCACATCTGGGCCACCAAAGGGCCGTCATTCTTTGCGATATCTGAGCCAAGCATTAGAGTGTCAGTGCCTTGGGTGGGCCAGAGCTGGGCCAGACAAATTTTTAATATATGGGTCTTTGTTTACAAGTCAGTCTATGTTCCTACATTCACCAACTGAGTAGGAACCAAATGAAATTGTGGATTAAGAAGGTTGAAATGATTTTATTCTACTTTTATTTTTCTACTTTTCAGTGAGCTTATAATTATTATTATTATTTTATACACATATATTTTGTTGCTGTGTTTTTGTTTTCTCTCTTGTTGCAGGTGTGGAGGCAGACTACAAATGTGTTGTCTTAATATTTTCTTAATGCATCTCTCTCATATCTTCTTGTTTCCCTTTGTATCTCTTTTTTCACTTTTCTCCTTTTTCTTTTCTTTGTTTACTTTTTCTGTCTTGTGTCGGTTACGAATTAATCCCAAAAGAATTTATAATAAAGGGAAAAAAAGGGATTTTATTCTGAAATGTAGCTGGGTTCTCCTTTAGGGATATGTTCAGTTATCCAGGAGATGCAGAATGTCTGCACATAATAAAAATGAGCCGACAGCATTGTAAAGGTTGAAATGCTGTTTGTACTTTTTTTTAATTTACGACTCATCTTTGACTTGTTTCATGTTTAGCCCCTAAAGGTTTTAAATATAGTTTAAGTTCACATTTTTTCTAATAACTTCTCAAGCCCGGCAGCTCAGAGGAGAAAGAGACGAACCATGTTACATCAGAGACATTGAAATTATTTAAATCTTTATCGAAAAGTTTGAAAATCACAAGGAGAGGAGGATGTTAGCATTAGCCTCAATTAGCCTGCTGTGTTGGTTCAGGCTGCAATGCATTCTGGTCATTGATGTAGTGCAAAACTTCTGTACACTACCTTTTTACTATATATATATA